CGGCACGTCCGCCGGTGCGCGGGCAGCCCCGGCACCTGCACGGGCGGCCGCCGCCCGAAATGAAATGCCAAACGCCTCAGGGCTTTGCTGAGGCACCGTCGCTCTTCAGAGACAGCACCATGGCTTCTGCTCCAATACCCCCTTTCTCTTGGAGCCACCGCGGCAGAAACGAGGGCAGTCCGCGCTGTCCTGGGGGCGTGTGTGTCAGTTCGTCCGTCCGTCCCGGTCTGCAGCCCTGCAGCAGCCGCCGCCTTCGCTTCCTTTAGGGAACCGTGACAAAGGCACCAGCTGCCGGCGCCCTGTAGCCCGGAGCTGCCTCGCCCCTCTGCAGAGCCATGTAACCGGCTCCGGAGGCAGCAAGAGAGGGCACGGAAAACATCTGCCCAGGGCTTGAAGGTGCTGCTCGCTGTTTCCTTGCAATGACGATATTATGTTGCTAAAACAGCATAGCTTGTTTAGAGGGTCTTAAGTCACTACTACACAATGAAAGACTGTCAATTTGACAGATACATGAATATTGTCATTCTCTTATATTTATGTGCTCTGGCTACCTTCCTGCCCTCCTTTATTTAACAGCACTTTTGCTAATTCAGCTACTGCTTCTAGGGAAATTCCTCTTCTGTACTGACTCACCACGGTGCAGCTTTCTCCCAGGCAGCTGCCCTGCCATGCTAGGGAGTGGTCAGGGCCACTGCAGGCATAGACTGCGCTGGCAGGCTTGACTGGCACTGGCCAACTGTAGCTAATAATTACCTTTTTCCAAAAATTTCTTTCAGTTCTGGGAGGTTATCAGCGATGAGCATGGCATCGACCCTACAGGCAGCTACCACGGAGACAGTGACTTGCAGCTGGAAAGGATCAATGTGTATTACAATGAAGCTGCTGGTAAGTGTGTCTGCTTCCTCAGACTTCCTTAAATATATCTGGCAAAAATGCCAGTTCATTGTAGCTGGAATAATTCCTGAACAAGAGCTTGTCATCTACCAGTGACTCTAAAAGGAGGGCTTTGTTTTCAGAATGGCTCTGATAAAACTGTAGCTGTCTGATCTAGACAGTGTGTCTCCACAGTGAATTATGAGGAGTCTGCCAGGAGCACAGCAGCGCTCTTGTGCCACTGGCTGCCGACTGCAGGGCTGTAACGCCGGTGCTGGTTCCTCCCGCAGGTAACAAGTATGTCCCCCGTGCCATCCTGGTCGACCTGGAACCCGGCACTATGGACTCTGTCCGCTCTGGCCCCTTTGGACAGATCTTCCGACCAGACAACTTTGTCTTTGGTAGGTAACGGGACCGGAGGGGTCCCCAGGCGTGTGCTGCGTGCAACTCACAGGAAAGGCTGTGAGTTGGCACGCGAGCGACGCAGGGAGAAGGACCCTTAACCGGGCAGGGGGGCTGGGAGCAACGGGCGTCTGCTGCGGGGCAGGGAGAAGCGGGATCGCCTTTTCTGGTAGGGGCGCTAACGTGGCATCTGCTTTCTGCTCTGCCTCCCAGGTCAGAGCGGGGCTGGCAACAACTGGGCAAAGGGCCACTACACAGAAGGAGCTGAGCTAGTGGACTCTGTCCTGGACGTGGTGAGGAAGGAATCGGAAAGCTGCGACTGCCTCCAGGGCTTTCAGCTGACCCACTCCTTGGGCGGTGGCACGGGCTCTGGGATGGGCACCCTCCTCATCAGCAAGATCAGGGAGGAGTACCCCGACCGCATCATGAACACCTTCAGCGTCATGCCCTCTCCCAAGGTGTCGGACACGGTGGTGGAGCCCTACAATGCCACCCTTTCTGTGCACCAGCTGGTGGAGAACACGGACGAGACCTACTGCATTGACAATGAGGCCTTGTATGACATTTGCTTCCGCACCCTGAAGCTCACCACTCCCACGTACGGGGACCTCAACCACCTGGTCTCGGCCACCATGAGCGGCGTGACGACCTGCCTTCGCTTCCCCGGCCAGCTGAACGCCGATCTGCGCAAGCTGGCGGTCAACATGGTGCCTTTCCCCCGGCTGCACTTCTTCATGCCGGGCTTTGCCCCTCTCACGAGCCGCGGCAGCCAGCAGTACCGAGCCCTGACGGTGCCCGAGCTCACGCAGCAGATGTTTGATTCTAAGAACATGATGGCAGCCTGCGACCCCCGCCACGGTCGCTACCTGACGGTGGCTGCCATTTTCCGAGGCCGGATGTCCATGAAGGAGGTGGACGAGCAAATGCTCAACGTGCAGAACAAGAACAGCAGCTACTTTGTGGAGTGGATCCCCAATAACGTGAAGACGGCCGTCTGCGACATCCCCCCGCGCGGGCTCAAGATGTCTGCCACCTTCATTGGGAACAGCACGGCTATTCAGGAGCTGTTCAAGAGGATCTCGGAGCAGTTCACAGCCATGTTCCGGCGCAAGGCTTTCTTGCACTGGTACACCGGCGAGGGCATGGATGAAATGGAGTTCACGGAGGCAGAGAGCAACATGAATGACCTGGTCTCAGAATACCAGCAATACCAGGATGCCACCGCTGACGAGCAGGGTGAATTTGAAGAGGAAGGCGAGGAGGATGAGGCCTAAATATCTTGTTAGCAGATGAACTTTGTAAAGCAGGCATGTGTATTGAATGACTTCTGATTCTGGTGGTGGTGGTGAAGCATGTTCTCTAGTTGCCATGTACCTAATTGTCTTCTCAGCATTTGTAACTTTGAAAGATTTCTCAGTGTAACAGTTCTGAATCCAAGTTATTACAATGTCTTTTTGTCCTTTAATGTTAAGATCACAAAGATCACATAAAGGCATGTATTCTAGACAATGTTTTATGTCTTTTTTTTTTATTTAATCACCTCAGTTGGACCAATAATAGCTATTTGCCTAGTGTGACATGAAATTAAGCTTAAAGACATGTGAGAAATCCTGCAGCCCAGTAGCGTTGTGTTCCAGTGAGGCTTACTGTCTGTTCTTGTGTTCTTAAATTCTGATTTTACACATATTAAGGACTGTGCTCCATAAACATTATTCTCAGTGTATGCTTCTCATGCAAACCCATGTTCTTTCCTACAGGACTCAAACCTATTACTTGAATCAAAATGGAAAAAAATCAAGTAAAATAGCTAAACAGTGAAAGGAAAAATACCTCTTAACTAACGTTATAGTTGAAATCACACTAGGAAGTCTTCTACTTGTCTGTTGAATTCCTCTGCAAAACGCAGATGTAGATTATGCTTTCCTTCTGGCATCAGAAGCAACCTTAAAAGACAAAAAAAAAAAAATCACACTCTGAACATGTGCTATATTCTGTGAGCACAGGTAATCAACTTGGTTGCACTTTTTCTCCTTGCTTTTGGGTAACCAAACACAGAATTGAAGGAACTCTTATTTCAAATACTATAACAGTGTACTTGGTCTAAGTTTAAAACTTAAGCTGTGAACTAACCAGCAATTAAATAGCATACACATTACTTTCTCCAAGTTGAGGAGGATAAATTAAGTTTAAAAACTAACTTCATGATCTGTTCTAGAGCAGTTTCTAAAACCCTGTCTGTTGGTTTGCAAAGATAATATTCTAAAATTCAGGTGAGTAGACTGTATCTTCTAAAGAGAGGTGAAATACCTGAGCTGTTTTGCCTCTTTTAGAGAACAGTAGTTGGACTGGGCAGTGGACAACACCAAAGAGATCATTACAAAAATACTGGCTTTGTGTTGCTACCCATAGTAAGTCAGCATTTGAATTTTTTTTCAATTTGCTCAAAAAAAATAAAAAGACAAAGCTTAAAACTAACACCATCCATTCATGCATTAAAGAAGAAAGGGAAGCAAGAAGTGCTGCAGCTGAATCATAACTTACGCTATAACAAATGCTTAGCAGTAATATCTATGAAGAAGTTTAAATCTTTAAACTATTAATACTGATATGAGTGCAATAAGACCAAAATGCAATTTGACATTGGAAAAAAACCTGTATGTTGAGTATATAATTTTAACACTTTTTTCTCCTACATGGGACTGGGAAATTCTTAATGTGATTTTATTCTGTCATTTACTAAACAGTTTCAACAGATCATTTTGACTGATACTTTTCTATGTTGCCTTAAGTGTCATTAATTTCTACTACAGCAAGTGGGAATTTTTCAAATTTCAAGAGGAGTTCTGTTAGTGATGATAAAAGCTGCTTTATCTCAGGCAAAAAACTATCCTGTGTCAACACATCCAGTTTTTCTAACACAGTTCTCTGAAGTTCATTAAGTCTGTTTCTTCAAAGACAAAGCAGAACGTAGATGCACAAAACTACAGTACTGCAGATACTTACTTAGCTATTAAGCCACTGAGATAGTACCTAATTCTATCCATACCATGCAAATATAGAATGATGGCATACTCTTTTACCATGATAAAAACAAGCAACGTATCTGTGCTCCAGTCAGCAAAACCACCTTCTATTTTACTACTAGAAAAAAGGGAAGAAAAGCTGATGGTAAAAGCAGCTAATCTGCTGCTAAAAATATGCTAAATGTATAGTTTTCTTTCTTATGCACAATGGAACATCTCATCTCCACTACAAGAAGGGAAGAAAGGGAACCACATGATTAAGTATTAAGTAAGTTAGATATATTTTCTAGCGCATCATCACTAGTCTGATTTCTTTCCTGATAACTACAGAAGGCGGGGTGGGGCGGGGGGGGGAGAGCACTTCAGCACAACACCATGCAAAGCTGATCCTTGTCTCTGCAGGGTTTGTGATGACTTGCCTTAGTCAGCAACTGGAGCACTTCCGAGCTCAGTCAACTCTAATAAGATGCTAGGGGTCATAAGCAGGAGACACGGGAGTAACTAACTGTCATTAAAAAAAAAAACAACTGCCTGTTAGGAAGGCTTCTTGTTCTTATCTTTCTTGTGGCAGAATGTATTTTTATGAACAGGAGAGCTGACTTTGAAGTAAATATATTATTCACATTTCACAGCGATGATACCAGTGAAACAATTTCCTGCACTCATAAAAATAGTTCTTCTATTCTCCAGTGCTATTCAGTGTGGACCACTATTAAGTAGAAATAGAACTCTTGAATTTGTGTGCAAATCTATGAAGAAAATTCAGCTGGTGAAGTCCCAGCTTTCTATAGGAGGCATTTCTGAAGGTCGCAAATGAAGCAGATGCTGCTTCAAGATTTTTTTTTCTTTTTTTTTCTTTTTTTTTTTTTTTTTAAGAGTTAGGAGTAGTATCTCTGAGCACAGTTGTATGCTTTTTTTCCCCCCCTAACATTAATTTTCTTAAATACACCAAAAATTAATTGGACAGTTGAAAAACTCAGTCTTTGGGGTCGTTATTCACATCAACATGCAAGAGAGAACATTAGTATCCTGTGCTTCTCTCCAATAACTGGGAATGCTGCTCCATTCATAGCAGCTAAATACTGTGCGCTACTAGCTGGGTAATAAATTAGATATCATGTAACAAAAGGAATGCAATGGCCATAATGGAGAATTTGCTTGCTTGGCTAAATGTTAAGGAATGCTTCTGTGGACAGGTGGAAAGAGGAAAGGGAACTTACTCGGTTTCTCTTGGAGAACATGAGGAAGGAGCTTATTGAAGTAGCAATACTTTTTATATCATAAGAAAGGGACTACTGTTCTCAATGTAACTTGCTAAGGAAGTTTAGAATAGTTTTATCTGTGGCAGAAACAGCTTGCCCAAACACACACACACACATATATGTATGTATATCTGTATTTTTTACACTCTGGGTATGCACCTCTTTAATGATGATTTGTAGCTAAACAACGATATTACTTACCGGGAGCCTTTGATGCGCTCATGAATGTATTCTGCATGAGAGCGTGGAAGCAAAGGGTCCTTCGCACCATGAATTATAAATGTGGGACATTTAATATGAGGCAGCAACTGCTGGCAGATATTACCTAGAGAGAAAATAAATGAAGCTCACAATTCATTTTAAAAGAGTGTGAAAGACTGAAACTGATTCTGCAAAGGATTGTGAACTCCACTGCGGTTCAAACCATCAGCTCTCTTTGTGGATAGGGTACAGTTATGCTACAGAAATACGTAACCATGATTGTAACTAACATTTATTTCTTCAAAACTTGTTGACAGTACTTCACTGAAATGTGCTTCATTAATGGATACCAACTCAGATAGATGGACACAGTGAATGATGTGTGTCTGGCTTACATTTTCCCTAAGGTTCGCACTGAATGTCCTAAGCAAATACATGCACCTCTTTCCCATCTTTATTCTTTTTACACTTAGCATCTTACGCCGTTCATGGTTTATGCTCCGCTTTCTTACATTGGTTATCAGGCATTAGGTTATAAGATTTGTTACTTTTACCAACAAGTTAACTTACTATGATGCCTTTTCTACCTTCAAGATTCTTTGTTGCCTGTAATGAATAAGCACTTAATACAAACTATCCAAAAATTATTCAAAAGTTATTCTTCCTGTCTGATCATTTTACAGAACCTTGAGAATAATTTTATGTTTAGCAGTCTTTAGAAGAGATAATTTTAATGCTTTTTCCTTAAAAGCTCCCCCCCTCTTTTTTCTCATCAATTATTACCCCAGTCTCCACGTCCTTTGGCCAACTTTCCACGCTCTCGTACGACAATTTGCAGGCAAATCATACTTGATGTATTTTAAGTTCAATTTTTCCTTAAGCTAGGTTTCTGCTCTATTTGTAATCGTCTCCTTACAGTTACCAACCCAGTTAATGCTTATACATGCACACTTTCCTTAGCTCTTAACAGTTATTCACTGTTTTACAGAGCTTTCCGATCATTTGGCTATTTATATTGTCCTAGTTTGCAGTTCTGCCCATTAATTGTTTTCATTTTGAACACTTCATCCATGATCTTCAAAAACCTGCACAAATGTTGATTACATTTCAGAACAAATAACTAGTTTTTTACCTAAAGCCATAGTTGGCAGCCAAACTAGGAAATAAAGCTGTTTTGTACTATAATCACTAGATCCCGCTTATTCCAGTAACACAGCCTTGCAGAAAAGCCTTGAATTTTGCAGCTTTAAGCAGCTTGTTCAGTTTCATTAAATGCTGGCATCCTCCTAATGTTTATTTCTTTGAGCAGCTCACACTAAAAGCTGTTCCACTTAGGGCAAATAGCCTACTTCTTAAAAAGAATTTGAGTGTGGTTTTGACCAACCAAGGTTTTGCTGTCTTCCTCTTACCTCTGATTTAATTTTCTCATCTGATGTTTTTTTATTAAATTCTTTTCTTGTATTCACCATTCATAATCCTTTCTGCAGCATGATTTACATTCAAAGGAGGTCTGGTTGTATTCTAAGTTGCCTTCGCCAAGCTAATCCTGGAAAAAACCAAGGACTGATAGTTGCTAATATTTTTTTAGCAAATGTTAGGCTTTCCTCAGTATGTGACCCATTTACAGCACCTGGGTAATTCAACTCCTTGTTAAATGTCTCCAGGTAGCTTCTTTTTTCACAAAGTCAGTTCATCTCAATATTTCAAGTATAAAATAAAATCAGATCATTGTTACATATCTCTGCTAGGAGAAATTCTAGTACTAGGTTGCTGATTCTTTGAAATCTATGTATGTGGAAAAACACAAAGAGAAAGAATAGTTTTCTTGCAATACCTGCTGCCATCTCCTGTCATCTAAATGTCATCTCCTGTTTTTCATTATGACAGCTACAGGAAAACGTATTTAAGAGAATTAGAGTCTTTGGTTTATGTGCTATGCATTTCTGCTTTAGGTAAATTAAAAACAAATTTCCTCTGAATTAAAACAGAACTGCAGGTTATTATTCTCAGTATCCTCGGTTGCAAAAGTCTATGCAGAGTAATTGCAGAAATCTTCAGAGATAAACATTTAATTACAATTATGTTATACAGTTCAGCTCTTCTTTTTGGATTTTAAATACCTAAGCTGTAGCAAGAGCATTTTTAAAATATGTTTTCTTAATTCTGAGTTTCAAAAATCTGAATGTCCTTCTTTCTGTACTCACTATATGCTATTCATTTTGAAATAGTGCTTAGGCTTCTGTTTGCAGGAACTAGAGTGAACACACCTCACTTTTGGGATATCTTAACAAAGTTACAAAGCAGTAGTAGGTAACTATTCTCTGCCACTGAGAGAGGAGAGTGGAAAATAAACTTGAGCAGAATTCCTCATGTTCAGGCTGCAAAAAAGTGATGATTTAATAATGTAGTTTTGTGGCGGAGCAAGGGGAGAGACTCATCAGCTAATGTTTCTTATAAATGTTTTTTCCTCCTGTACCTTGGTTCTGTGAAGCATCTACAAATTAATTGCTTTACCAATGAGTATGAGTCAGATCCAGCTTTTAATGCTTTTAATACCATATGCAGAGTCCTTCTTTTTCTGCCTGCTAGGAGTACTGTTAGAGAGATTTTATCCAGACCTGTCTGCTACTGTAATTTTTTCAGTTTAGCATTGTAAAAGTCTTACCATCTGATTTTTCAGCAAAGCGAGATATCCCATCTACCCAAGCCTCACAGGTTTTTGCAAAGTATTTATGTCCATACATCTCTTCCAGGGGTTTCTTCACTTTTTCACTCCATTTTGAAACATCTCGGATGCCTATATAAAATAATATTGAAATATGTTAAGATCTTTCCAGCAATAAAATATGCTTGCCCAGTACTGTAAACATCTAATACGAGCAAATTTTCAAACCTGGCTGCCGATATGTATTTCAAAGTTGAAACTGCATTGAATAGTTTTAAATAAATTCTGAGTAAGGAAGTGGGTGTAAAAAAAGGTAGTTCTAGTATCTCTGCTGGGTCTTTCTGAGATACAAAAGACTATCTCGTTATCATGTTCATGAGGAGCTAAAAAAAAAAATCAAAAGCTCAATCCTATAACTTCTGATGGCTTCTTTATGGAGGCCTTGCAATAAGAAGAGCTCAAAGAGGTACCAAGTGTATAAAAAGGGACTATTTTTATAACAGTGTGCCAGAACTGGCAATACATTTTTATATCCTACAGCCTTTCGCTTTGGCTCATGGATGGAAGCTCTCCCATGGTTCTTACCAGTATTCAGAGGAAGGAAGCTTTTACTAAGGCATTCCAACAGACTGACATCATGGTACATTTGCCATAGTCTTAGAGGAAAATAAGCAACTGTACTTAGTAGACCCCTGTGACTCATGGCATGCTGACTAAAGCTGTACAAATAATCTGACATTCTACTTCATTTATCAGGTTTATCTGTCTTCCCCTTCAAACTTTCAGTAATGCTCACAATCCAGATATCCACAAGGGTCACTTTCACTAAATTAGATTTCAGTTGCACAGCCTTGAATCAATAAAGCCCAAAACAACTCCGTCATAGCAGAGGTGAAAGAGATGGAAAAGCACTGAATCGTGAAACAGCAATGTATACAACTAGCAAAGGTTTTAACTGATTTCAAATAGAAAGCAAGGGAAGAGAGGAGTTAATTAGCCTGCGTGAAATAGAACCTGTCCAGCCAAACGAGCAAGGTAGTAGTGAATGAAAGGGTTGTTTTACAGCAACATCTGTTTGGTAACCTCTGGCAAATGAGTTTGATCGTTCCAGGCTAGCTTGTTACTGTTACAGCTGTTTCCCTTACAGACTCCACCCTTCTCTCCTTGAAGCTGGTCTTATTTTAAATTGAATGGAAAAAGCCCAATGTCGAATGGGCATAGAGAGCAAATAAACATCTTTCGCTCCCACATCATAAGCTAAGATGCACTGATGGGCCAGCTGTAGTAGGCTTGCACTGCTGGTCCGTGGGCTCTGTCTACCCAGAAAGATATGTTGAAAGAGTCAGTTGGCTAAGCAGCCGAAAATCAGCATTCTTGCAGGCACTGACTGTAGTCCTTGTAAAGTACGATTTTTTTTTTTAAATACCTTAGCTTGTTAGCAGAAGGCAACTTATACACATTTCATAATTATTATGTAATAAAACTTCCATATATATAAAAGCATCTAAAGAAATAACGTAGCACTTCTACAGATCTAAAAAGCATTTTGCTTACTGAACTAAAAAATGTAATAATAACAATAATCACCCTCATCATCATAAAAAATGCAATAGTACAGGTGAGAGAATTGCACAGGTGCAATATTTACACTTGTAATTTAGCTGAAGCCAGACAGATTCCACAGCTGCTACAAATCAAACTCCAGTCACTTAAATGAAACTATACTAAGTTACATTTGGTGAGAATCTGTATGGTTAACTCTTTAACTTCAAAAGTAAGTAAGGTTGTTTCTAAGCATACTAGCAGTTTTTGCTGTTTTCCTTGAGAGTGACAAATGGTCAGATCCTGTTTCACAGGAGTGGAACAGGGATCAGAAACCTACGTGCTTCTTTATTTTGCAAAGGTTTTGTAACTATAATAATGAACTTCAAAGGCGTGCAAATTAGAAAGGAATCCTGGGATGTTTACTTGAACGATTCATTTGCTTCCTGAGCTCAAATGGTAAGTTACGAGCTTGTTTTCTTACACTGTGTATTATATAGCCCGTAGAGGCAAAAGGAGCTACATGTTAGCCCAATAATTTTCAGTGGACCTTCTCTAAAAGTTGTGCAAGATCTATGAAAGAAAATCAAGCCTGGAGTCAGTGGGTTTATTTGGAATTTATTTTTAGGAATTTCTTACAGCAACAAAAATTTTACCCGCTAAAAATTCCTGATAAGCTATTTATAATTTATGATTTTAACAGCTGCTGGTAAACTGTTGGTAATTTTTTTTTAATCCTAGTACATTATCTCTGGAGTAATTGTTAGGCAGTTTCTCACTAGAACTTTAATCTAGTCCTGTATTTAGCAATACGGTGAATTTTGTGTTCTCTTACTTCTTTGGTTTGTTATGTCTCACTAAGCCTTAAGACAACTAAGATCCTCAGATCAAGATGAAATAAACACATTTCTTCAAGGATATGATTTTCTCCTATACTTAATTCTGCACATACCATTATAAATTCTCACATCCTCTTGAGTAACACTGGCATTTGCTCCCCAAACAACCAGTTTGTTGATAAGAGCTGGATACTTTGCAGCTGCAATGAGTGCTGTAATGCCACCATCACTCCATCCCAGCAAAGAGAACTTCTTAAATTTCAGTGCCTGGATTGGTACAAGAAAGTTATATGCAAGTCATCAACTGTTTTTAATCAGTAAATATCAAATATTTCCTGAAAACTACCTGTACAAATTTAGATACAACAATAAAAATCTGAATTATAGTTAGCTTTCATAACTGGAAAAATATAAATTTTCCTGCTGTACAAAAAAGGCTCAGAAAAAGGTCAAACTGTGGAAAACAAATTAAACCCTCCCTTCCAATCTTCCTTTGCTATTACTGAAACAGAAAGTAGTCATATTAGCTGCATTTAAAAAGCCTTATTGAAACTAAGACTTGCTTATTTACAATGGAGAGTGAACACTTTTTCAGAAAACAGGATGGTGTAAAGAACCCTTTGATTCTCTTGGCATAAAGTTGGTAAAGACTATTATAATGTGGGATGGTATGCAATACAAGACCAAGATGAGCTTAGGAAAAAGAAAAGTTTAAGGCTTTAAAAATAAAACCTAGTGATCTAATTTACTGATGCTAGTTAATAAAAATGTATCTGCACTGTAATGACAAAAAAACCCCAAAACTTTAAACATTTCCTATAGGACACTTACACATTTGCTATGGGATTGTTTCAAATTTTGGTGCCTACTTCACATTTTCTGATGCTTGTTCCCTTGCTTATAACTGTACACTTTAAATGCTACTTCATGGTGAATTCCAGTTTAAAATATCGATACTGAAATATTTCCTTCTCCAAAAGGAAGGCTGTGAGCAAAACATATGGCAACGAAGACCTTAATTCATTCTTCTTATATGCTGCTGTCCACTAGAATTTGAAACTGTTCCTTTCTCTTATACCAAAAGCTGTTGTAGGGGGCAACAGCTGCGACAGGTTAGAGGATTTTGCATCTACGATGTTCAGTGGGCAGAGGGTGAGGAAGGGAAAGGGATTCAGAGGCAAAAGCATCTGAAGGCGGCACAGGGAGGGACAACATTCAACGGTTAAACAGTTTTTGCAGGTTGGCATACAGAAGCCTGTTTGCAGTTCTCTAGCAAACAAACACAATAAAACATTTCAATGATTTCTTTAAAGGCAGAGATTATATCCTTTTAGATGGGATTAAGGAAGTTATTGTACTTTTGGAGGAAAAAGAGAAACAAATAGTTGAGTTAGTTAAGTTTTGTCTGTGGTGTTTTGCTGTTAGAGTCCAGTCCTGCTTTCCTCATTCAGAAGGTGGCAAAAAAAAAACAAAAAAAACCCAGGAAATGACAAACAAAAGAACTGCAGAGAGATAAAAAGTAAAAAAGAGAGATAAAAAGACTCCTGCTTGTAAACTCAATGCTCAAGTGAAGTATAGCCTTATCTGTCAACTAGAAACCTGGCAAACTTGTTCCATTATCAGGCTTTTCTGCTTTTGGCTTCTTCCTTGATACTAGGCTTAACTTCAGTGTTGCTCAAAACTAGACTTTACCCAGCTAAGCCATAATTAGCAAACAGGAAAAAAAAAAAAGGTACAAAAAACACAAGGACATCCAAGGATGGAGATGAAAGTAAGAAAGAGCCTTGAATTTTAGAAGCTGATCACAGGTTGGCCCTGACCTACTGAAAAAGTAGTAACCCGCAGCCACCTTTCAGTATAGTGCTATTGAAGGGTTAGTGGTATCTTGGTAAGCTGCAGGAGCTGGCAGCCACGCTTGTAAAACTTGGGTTTTTGTTGCTGCTGTTCTCCTATCACCAATAGCGAATTATGGATCTCAAAGTTGGCTGATGGGTGGAATAGCCTATTAAAATTTTTGTCTGTTAAGAACCATCCTAGTTTATTTGCCAGCATTTCAGCTGAGATCCATTTGCTTCCAGTTCTGTGTTTCTCTTGTTTCCTAGCCATTATCTCAGTGCATTCTTTGGGTTGTCTCAGTATGCCTTTCCAGTAGGAGTAATTTAACTTAATCGCTTTGGCCTTCCAAAAAACAATGAGATGTAACAAACGTGTTGGATGTGGTGCGCATGCTTATTCATTTGCTTTAATCTTGAACTACTTACAGTACAGGTCTGTACCTAACAATGGCAACAACTTGAGAGCTGATTTCAGCTCCTTAATTCTGTCAGCAATTTTGTGCTGGCCCTATCCTGTAAATGAAGAAAACCTCTTTTGAAATCACCTCCTCCATCCAAGCCTCTGTGAAATGCAATCAAATGATCATGTAGGCTGTCAAAAAATAATTTATAACTTTGAGCTGTAATACAACAACACTCTGTACTATGGGCTTTCATTTGGTTCAAAGGAAGTACACCACGAATATTGGTTGCAACCAATCTACAAAAACTTGGAGAAACCAAGTCCAACCAAGCCCCATCCTTTCAGTGGGATAGTAGCTCTGAACAATAAGAACATTTTAAATGTCAACACTAGTTATCTCCATAATGATCATTTTAATGCTATTGGCCTTTGTTAACGTTAGACATTGGAATGGAGTGCGGCAAAGCAGACTTAAAACATTTACTTTTTCCAGTTGAATTCGTTATTTGCATTATACTATCATTGTTTCAAGTCGACTCTGTCACAGAACACATATAGCAACGTGGAGCGCTGGCATGTGCATCAGCCTGCTAAATACTCTGCAGAATTTCAGCTTTCATTACTTCACAGAAGCTTCCAACAGTCATAGCTCCAGCAGAGAGGACAAAATCTGGAAGAGCCTAAATACAGGTTCTGAAGGCTCACCTATAGAAATGGGCTTACTTGTGTAGGCTGTGTATATGGAAACCAATATACTGTTATAATGCCCTCTGCATTAGAATTTCTGACAGTTATGACACAACCTTGCAGGAGTTATGACTTTGTTTTATTCTGCAAATCCTAGCTGTAACCATTCCTTAGGTTTTGTGCCTCTATATTTTATGCTAAAATAGAAGCAAGTTACCCATGATTGCAAGCCACTCATGATTGGAAAGATTTGAATAATTTGTTATTATATTTATATCTTAATAAACACCTTCAAAAAGACAGGATGTTACATACAATTTTGCTGCCAAAAATCTAGTAATTTGTTTCGGCAACTTTTAACATTGATAGGCTGCTATCCTGTTTGACTGCAGACTACACAGTTTCATATTCTTTGGGGACGGCTTTGTTTTCTAATCTGCATACATTAGGATTTGAAGAGAGACAGAAAAAGGGTTACCAACATTTAGACTGAATATTTGTCACCTATCCGTGGCAGCATCTTTATTTTCTGTATTAGCATAGCAGAATAAATTGGTGATTCAGGAGATTATTTCCACAGTTAGAGAGCAAAACAGTATCTTTATCCTGATTCTGCTGTCAGACCTATTTTGTTTCACTATGCAGAATACTCCAGGAAGGCTGTATTTTCAATTTCAAATTGTTCTACAAGGTTACTGCTCAGTACAGAAATACAGTTGGATTCACTGTCTGCATCTTGCCTCATATTTTTGGAATTTTAATGTTCTGCCAACTTTTTTAACATGGCCAAAGAAACTGTACAGCTTAACATAACAAAGCCAAAATATTAGTTAAAACTAAAGATAGAAAATAGCGTTAGGACCTATATGATGGACTCATAACAATCAGAACAAAGGAACATAGATTTGAATTGTAGAATTCTTTAAGATGGAGAAGTGATGACAACTTTAGGTCATACTCTTCATAATCGCAATAGTTGTGTTAAGATCTGGTATGATTACAGGAATTCTTTGATTCCCTATACAAATTATTTCAGTAATAGGCCTTAAAGTGCGAAGTGTCAACTTAGTTTTCAGGATCAAACATTTCAGATGAAATGGGCTCCTCCAGGCAAAACGCCAAGATTCTATTAGCTAGAAAATTTTCTAAGAACCTTTCACCACTATAATCCCTGCAGTTAAGCCACTTAGCACAGGCTTTGTTTTTTCATATGTATTTTTTATCTAAACTTTTCCTGACTCTTCACTGCAAACCTCTCAGGGCAGGTTATTTTGGAGTCAAAATGTATTGCTTTATAACTAATTCCCACTGTTGAATCTCTATATATTGTAAAAGAGATGGAAGAAGAAAATATTTTCCAGAACAGTGTGTATGTGCCCAGTTTTAAGCCTTCATGTGTATGTTCTTCTGTGTAACTTGCTGTTTGCTGGGGGCTATATACTTAACAGTACTTTTCTCTACATCTCAAAGTAATATCTTTTATAAATATATATATTAATAATACAATCTCAGAATAGATTTACCTGCATAAGATCTACAGCATCTTTTGCATCCCTCTCAAAGAAATCTGGAGGAAAGTCTCGAGATGGAGGGATGGATTGTCCATATCCCCGAGGATCCCAAGCAACAATTGTGAAAAGCTGCTTGTTCATAGACTTAAGCTGCGGTCCAAAATCGGTTTGACCACTTCCTGAAACATCATCATTTTTCAATTAAAGTAACCACTCTAATACATACACACCATTCATACTATAAATGGGGAAATTTATATCTTAATTCTAAAAAAGATGTTATTATGAACTGAAGCATATTTTAACTCTAGTTGTAACTGAGTATTGCAACTCTTAGCCAGGAAGTACCATAATAAAAAGTTTTAGAATATTTGTAATACACTTAGAATAAACTATTTCTAGAATGTCTGCAAAGCTTATCAACTATTGTGCTTTACACAAATGAATCAATAACTCAGTTACATGGAATCAATCAGAGTAGGGATTTATTTCTAACAGTAATAAAGCAGTAGGATGGTCATTGCTGTTCATTTGGACAGCACAGATTACACTTAGCTTAACGGAGAGCTATTCTGACAGAGTGGAATAATGCTTAACTAGGCCATATTAAAAGTTTTGACTAAGAAAAGTCAAAGGATGACTTAAGGACGGCTGAAGGATGGATTTAAACTTGAACTTTTGGTTGAACAATCTAGAACAGTTATCTTCTTCCCTGTGAAAGCGGAGGAATATACAGACTTTAACTAAGAAATTCGCTGTCCATAGATGAACAGCACTGTGTGATACAGAGTTTCTTAATGATAAAATACTTTAACAAGACTATTAGTGCTTAAATTGAACTTTAAATGCTTTCTTGACTGAGGAGACAGTGGTGACACAAAAGTACAACATTCTGACGACTTATTTTTCTCATACGTAAGTTGCCAAATGGAAGTCAAATACAGTCATTTTTTCTGACGCAGAACCGTTTCCTTTATTAACGGCTTACACTTTCAACGAATGAAAACATGAACTATTGCAATCTAGAAAATGCTATTGCACTAAACTATGAACACTAGCACGAATGTAAGAAGCCTACAATTTATTTCTCATTTGAATTATGGTCATGTGTTAACAGTATCAAACATTACTGTGATTAAAAACTGTTCAGCTCTAGTATATCATATCTGAACGATGTATATCGAAATGGTTATCTATAATTATAAAGCCTGTTAGGATTTGTACTTGGAGGAATATGTCCTCAGGTATCTCCTTCTATCTTATCCACTGGTCCAAATGACAGAAGAGCCTGTATACAGTATGCCATGATGAGCTGACTACAGTCTGATATCAGCTCTTCTCCCTTGCTACACCAATTAACAGCTACAGTCAGAAGTAAAATATCAGGTTGTTTGAAAAATAGCGATGCAGTGTGATTAATACTGATCATGTATTTTTACACAGGCTTAATGTGAACTTCTTCACTATCCTGCACATGCTTGTTATACTATATTTTTTTGGAACTTAAAACAATTCACAAAACTGAAAGCACATCCAGATGCTGTGTTTTCTTGGCTTTCTTAGTACTTTTCCATTTTGAAAGAGAAATGTTATTTTGTGTTACCGTACGTTACTAATAGTCTGGAGACTGATTAATTCCATTGACCGAATAGCACTTACCTTGTTGCCAGCACACTTATTAATCTGTTAAAATTGTAAATTGTATATAATATTATTGAAAATTTAGTATTGGTACAAAGGGAGAACATATTTGATGGTCATAATTCAATGCTTACCCTCATATGTTGCCCCAAAATCTTAGACCACAGTTAATAATGGTAAAGATACTAAGTCCTAGCTATTAGTGTCTGTAATAATGCTACCTGAGCAGTACCAATATACAGATAACAACAGTATTACCTCAGAACTGAAGAAAGATAACGTTTCTATTTAAGGAGTTAGCATTGGCAGCAGGATTATTAGTCTAAAAAGCTGTTAGGATGAATTGGTTAGAACATATTACTCCTAAAGCACCCCTAGCATTAATTTTTTCCATTCTCCCTCTGAAAATGACTTGAAATAAAGAATTACTTCATGTATACTTAAAAATGTTGCTGCCAACAAGAATAAATGTCTTCTGCTCCTCAGTTCTTAATGTTCTATCACCTGATCCACAATTCAGTTAAGCACGAGCGCAACTTTGAGCTCAGTAATAGTCCTATCGACACGCTGGTATGAATGGCTAGTAATTTTTAATGGTCTTGCAGTACTGAATGTACTGCAGAAGAAAACCTTGGGTTAATTTTAAAAGGTTGCTATCCAAAGCAGTGGTCTCGGCAGCCAGAAATCACATAGCTAGCAGAATCTGTTTTCCATCCCTAAAAGCCACTGAGAGTCTTAATAATGTTTCCATGAATGAGTGAAACATGAACATACATTTTAAATCAAACAGCCAGTCTCATCTGTGTCTTCTTCATTACGAGAATAAACTGCAAGTGCTGCACTATGACTATTAATTCAATTGGAACGCACCTAGTTTCTAAAAAAGAATGAATCATTCAGCCTGTGTAACAAATGCAGCTGACTTGACTTTTTTCAGTACTTTGTACCTTGTGTAGCTATTTTCCACCTGTGTTGGAGACCCCTGTGCACAGTCAGATCCAAAAGGCTTGAGTGACTACGTAAGACAGCAGAAATTCAGAATCAGTATGTTTGAGTTGCTTGGTGAGATATACAAAATCCTTAAAAACAATTAACTGGTTACAATAACTCTACCTTAACTTATCTTTCATGTGTAGCAATTCCTTTTTAGGATAATCCTTCATAATCAGGTGTTAAATGTATTACAAAATGGTTTTGTGTAATCTAGCTTGGGAGCAGACAGGACACAAGAGAGGCCGTTGCTCTGTGAAGATAAGACAAAATCTCCAGACCTAGCATTCCAGGAAGCAGAAGAACTGCATGGTTTCCTTCTCCTGTTTGCTGATAATGCAGGTGGACTCCATTCACTTGGATTTTGGCAGATGTTATCGCAGTACTGGGAACAGGAGAAGGGGACAGAGAGAGGAAAACATTCAGACAGGAAATTCTCATTACTATCTGGTCATTCAAGAAATGTAAAATGATTACTTTTATATGGGGGGACTATACAGTGAGACTTATATGGGTCACTTGCCCTTTCATGAATGCACAGAAGAGGAAATAAAAAAAATGACTGAGCAGAGAAGTATTCAATATGTGACTACTATGTAACATCTGTACCTAGGTTTCACAAATGCAGTTAAATGGCTGAAGTCAAAGGCGATGGCGGGTCACGACTGTACAATAACGCAAACATAAGAGCAGCCTTAAATGGCTAAAAAAATGTGTTGAAAGAAACACATTAGAGGATAAACCTCATTCTGTCACAGAATAACTTTCAAAATGGCTGGTGTTCACCTTGTTATTACTAAACTGAATCTCACCTGCCAAAGAAAATACAATCTATTGTTAAGGGTTCCTTATGAACCAGAGGTTCTAGGACGAAAAACATCTGGCACCGAGATGAAGCTGGAGGGGTGGGAGAAGAATGTGACAATAATAATAATGTCAACGTAACCTTAGCAGGAGGTAATGCTTAACTGGAAATAATAATAATAATAAACTAAAGAAGCACTCTAAATGGGAAAAATGTAAATGATCAAGAATATAGAAACTGACCACATAGGAGAACACCCTCCCTTAAACATGTAAATTAACCTTTCAATACAGAATAAGACATATTTGCATATGCAAATAGTTAACCGGTGATACTATTTCTAGATACAAACTCCCAGTGAGAATACAGAAGTAGCATATATTGAAGGACTCTTTTTAACACTGTAAATGATTGCATCTGGTCTCCCAATTAAGTTTGTGTCCTAATAGTTGCAGGGGATCATTTTACCAGCCTAACTCATGTTGTTTAAAGGTGGTAATATAATACGAATTTCGCCATTCGGTTGCCTAACAGCTAAGGTTTGTTCACTATGCTTCAGTTTACCTAGATTAAATATTCTTGCTCCACTGAATTCATTCAATGTGATTTTTCCCCTGCTTACTTACAGAAATGCTGTTGTCCAGTCTTCAATGTAACAATAACCTGTATTCTGTGTTATGCACCATACAACATTTTTAAATGTTCACTTTTAACATTTACTAAGTTCTGAACTAAGTACAGTGAGTAAACATAGTTTCACCCATGTAGAGTTTAAAATCTAGTTTTTAAAAGTCATAAACTCCACAAACTTAAGTCTTTCTCATAAAGCAACTGAAAATGAACAGCAGTTTGCGAGCTCAGATTCCTATTTTATAACAGTGACAGATAAACTGCAGAAATTGTTCAACATAAAGCCACTTGAATCCTGGTATACATAACACATCTAATTACGCCACATACTAAATCAGGGCTGTGATTTTGCAGGATAGGATCAGCTCTTCCACCTGTACAGATTCAATGTGAATACTGGAGTATAAATGCAGATCAATTTCAAGGTATTTCTTGAAATGCAGACATTTCAAGAATATAGGTCAGACATCAAAGAAAGTCATTATGCCGTTAAAACTTCAGGGAGTTTTGCCGAATTGCTATAGCAATACGATTCAAGCGATTAGTCTGGCTATATTTTTTTAACCTGTTTTAAGTACCTACACCACACCTGATACAGCTATATATTTCACAGCTAGGCAAATTCTGAATGTAGCTTTTAGATATGCTTTTCTATCCCCTTTTGAATATCTAATAGTGCTTTTTCTCTTTATAAAAGAATTTTTTTTCCCTCCAATATACCATCTTTTAGTTTGCTCTTCATTTCAACAGGTTATGTTATCACAGTTTTCACCATAGCAATTGAACAGCTCAGTTTTATTATGTATAGAAATACCAAAGGTTCTTTGCTTCTGATTAATAATTACCAAAGGTATGCCCAGTTCTGAACAAAACAGAAATAATCACCACCCTGCTACCTTTTTTTAAGAGGTAAACAAAATGTCGTTTTCATGGACAAAAAGTAATTCATATTCTGCTTTCCTGATTCAGATAATGCTAAGCATTTTCCATAGCTCACCCCCTTCTTTAAAGATTAATTATTAACATCACAGGTTCAAGAATTTGCTGGGTTTGCGATGCTTTTCTGTTCTTGGACCATGTCTGAGTGTAAAGTCTGATGAAAAAACAGAATTTCACGTATAGAGTACTTTCAATACTTTCTAGATCAAGTGAGTTGTTACTTATACGTGCTGAGAAGCTGTACTGGAATTGACTACACCTCTTGTAGATTTGGTTCCAAACACACCAAATTTCTGCGAGTGTGAAATCACTTCAATGTGATTATCATCATGATGACTTTACTTCTGTAAAGTTTTTTTTTTAAACACTGCATTTCTCACTGATTGGCATAATCATGTTTGCAGAAATCACATTTTAAAACAACGAGTTGTAACTGAGGCAGTAGTGTTAAGGTTTACTGCTCTGTGAGGAGCCACCGTACACATTACCTATATTTACCAAGATAATACAGGTACAGAGTTTGTAGGTGCAGAGGATGATTAAACCTTGTACTGTGCCTTGTTGGAGTCCACACTTCACCTCAGAGTCTGTAAAAGCACAGCTTAACCTGTGAACTACATTTCTGTTCCAGCTGTGCTACAAAAACAATCTAATCTTTATCTGTGTAAAAAAAAAATATTATGGTATAACGTGCACTTTCCTTAACAGGATCTGCATAATAAGTAATATTACTTGGCTATTAATCTCTCCTCTCCTTGTCAGACTTTCTTTCATACCATTTCTCTTTGCAACCCTCCCCGGCCATCTCCAGGAAACCCCTTCTCCACGGGTGCTAGAGAAGCAGCGGCATTTAGCAGCATGTCGTGCCGGCAGAGGGGAAAGGGACTCGCAGAGGGGGGGGATGAGAGCCCCTGAAGATAGGGGGCTGCGGAGCCTTGCAACAGCATGCAACAGAGGGAAAGCAGCTAAGGAGAAAGCTCTTCCCTCCCCCAGCGAAACAAACCTCCCCGGCCAAACGCAAGACCGACGCCTCAGGGTGCTACTGGCGCCCCCCTCCCCCAATCTACAACATGCACCCCCTTTGCTAAAACACCTTGCCCAACCCTGGTCTTCCAAAGGTCCCCAACCCCTGCGGGCCCGGCCGGCGGCAGCAGCAGCAGCA